TATGATGGTCATCCATCCATCCAGCAAAGAAGCAGTTTAATGTCCTGAAGCTTGCATGCACGCATGCCTGGAAGAAATCCCTTCAGTCTTGTCCAAGCAGTATTTGGGACCTACTGTTGGTTTTGGATTCCACTAGTGCGGGAGATCTCATCTGCCTCGTGCGTGTGCGGGTAGGAGGCCTGATGCCCACAAGTCACGTGACGTGCGTGCAACAGCCGGCCCGCCAGTCATGTGGGCAGCACAAGCAACGATGGTAATCAACAATGATGCTGGGAGACACTGTTGCTGGTGGTTCTGTGGAGATTCGCTCAAGCCTTCGGCTACCGGCTACCGGTACTGCTGGCTGTGAGGCTCCTACTTGTACAGGAAGTTGACCATGCGACTTCAGAAGGAAGAGACTGCTTACTCTAAACCCTGGATGGAACTCTGAAGCCGGGCAAGCGAACCTTGCAATCCCTCCTTGTACTCCCAAGTACAATTGAATGAAAAGGTATACTATTGAGGCTCCGATCGTTGCTACTGTCGTCCCTGTCTTCTCATGCTTTGAAAAGATCTTCCTGGTCCAGGCTTGCCACCAAGGCCAGTGGGGTGTCGGCCTTGGGCTTCGGGGTTGGGGTTTGCAGGTCCAGTGTTGATATAGATATAGACGCCATGTCTTTAGGCAATTATTGTTTCAGGCTCCTTTTCGCTGCTGGTTCACGGGACGGACTGTGCATGCAGTGCAAAAAGTACTGATATTGGCTGACATTCGAAGTCCTCGGCTCACACACGTGAAGCAGCGCAATCCAAACCTCCAGCTTGAAGCCCGACGGCTTGCGACCTAGTCGTGGCCTGTTCTGTCTCGACAGATATCCTGATCGAAGTGATTCGATGCTCGTAGAGCCTGTGCTCTGACTCCAAAATCTAAGCGTGCGCATAAAGACGGAGACGATCAACAAGCTGAGTACTGGCAGGACACAGCAGGTGTATGACTGAGAGCAGCATCGGTAGTGGTGGTAACGGGGCATGCCCAACTGATTGAGCGCAAGGCTCCGGACATGTTATTGCCTTTTTGCTGTATCACTCAGCTCGCATGGTGTACTTGGTTCTCCAGCTCCTTAATTCTGAAGCCGCTACCTGTGCTGTTTTGCCTTTGTCGTGATGTTGCTTCTGCCAAGGTGTCCTTGCCACCGACCTGCTCGCCAGGGCCCCGCGTGCCAAGGTCTCTTGCAGGAGCTGTGTTCCAAGCAGCTTCCCACTCGCCGAGGAGGCCTCGGCATGCAGGAGTTTCTGCAAGCCCATGTCGCTCTGATTGCTGCGGCCTGCACCACGCGGCGAAGGATGGCTGCAGCAGGCCATGGCTCCACGGCCATTCATTGGGCCGTTCATGTCCAGAGTCTATCCGTCTCATTGGGTTGTCGGGGCAGTTTCAGGCTCTGCTCGAGCATCGTTTGCTGTGCCACTACTGGACCTTGCTCAATCCCAGCGGTCTGAGGCGAGGCATGCATCGCGTGATTTGGAATCTGCTACACATGATGGCCTTCTCCTGCTTGAACCTGGCAGGCCTCCACAGGCACACCGTTCTTGGATGCGTTCAGAGGTATCGGTGCATTCCAGGCACTCCGCAACTGGTGCTACCCATGTTCGTTGAGCGAGGCAATGCATGAGTCAGGCGACTTCCGATGCAATTCTCACAGGTTCGGGTGCCCGCACCGCTGGCACGAGACACTCAGCACGTCTTCGAGCACTTTGAAACTTTCATGGCGCTGCCGGAAGCAGCCGCCGGACTTGCAACAGACTGGTCTGGGCACGTCGATGTGTTTGTGCGTTGCTGTGGCTGGATCCGTTGGAATCCAATCAAAGCTCCTCAGACTTCTGCTTGTTTTGGAGTACTGTAATGTCTGACAGCTTCAGGCTCGGCACCGTTTCCTGTGTGACCCTGGGGAGGTGCTGGTTGCAGCTTGGCTGTTGCATTTGTTGCTGTTGCTTGTGCAGCTTGTCGACGAGATTTGGCACTAGTCGCCCAGGTGCACGGCTATCAGCCACGAGGTGGAGAGGCCGAACGCTCTTTGCCAAGCACTTACCATGCCGGACCCCAACAGACCTGACAAAGGGTTCACAGCAGCACGACTCGTCGTCTTAAGCGCATCTTGTAGGTTGCAGGGCTACTCACTGCTCTCCAAAGCCAGTTTACATCAATGACTTGCAGCGCAAAGCTGAGATGTCTTGAAGGTTTCAATCGATTCCGCTCCGGCATCGTGTTCCACGGCAAGAGCACGCTGCCCTTGCTGCCGGAGCCTTTTGAGGCAACCTGCTAGGCAGTCCCCCGGGATAAGCAGATTGCGTCCTGTTTCTGCAGATGCGTGAAATACACGTATAGCGCAACCAACAGCTCGAGAGAGGGCATGGTCTTTTGCAGCGTTCTGTGGCAGGTGGACATCGAACGCTGGCGAGACCGGATGTGGCGCCTCTCGGAGAGGATGCGCTACTTGCTAACCCTGACGTATGGCTAGAAGTATCACGGGAGGAGGATACCGGCAGCCCAATCTTTCCCGGAGTTCCGGAAACAGAAGCCTCTCAATGCCACTGTGCTTGTCTTGGAAACGGGAACCCAACCCGGTCTCTCAAAGGGTTCACTCCGTTTGAATGCGGGCTGAGGGGTGAGCGCCTCCGAGCTGCAAGTCCACGATTCTGATGGCCCCACGGCTCCATCCCTGGTAGGATTCTGGAGCAGCTCCGGGACGAGCTGTGCCGGAGCGGCAAGATGGAGGTGCCAGAATGTAGGCATATACATGGAGCAGCCTTGAGGGATGTCTTGCTTCGGATCCAGTCCTTGCGGCGACCAGGGGAACCTGGGCATGGGTTCCTTCAGCGAGGGCGCTGCCGTCGACATGCCACTCGCCCTTAATAGAGCGCGATTTTCCCACGAAGCGCTAGCAGAGAGCGGACCGTGCTGAAGCCGAGAGGATCTCAGGGTCGCACTTCCAGCTAAAGCAGATGCACTCCGGCTCCGAGCCAAAAGGTCTGCGCCCGAGCTTTCCCATGTCCGCTGTCGCTGTCGTTGTCACGACACGTTGACCGTTGATATGTGTGATGTCAACGTGGGGGAAGCCGCGTGTTCATCAGGCTCTGGGTCTGGGAAGACAGTCCCTTGACTTGGAGATTGAGAGACTGGCAAGTTGTCGGATGAATTATCAAGTGCCTTGGTTTCGATATTACGGCATGTGGTTGCCAGGTCCGACTGCCGCTGCACCAAGACCCAAGCTTTATGCCTCTTGGGTCAAACTGTCCTTGCATCTGCGGCGACAAACACGTGAGTGTCCTGGCTTTAGGTCCCTGCTGATCCATGGTTCATCGGATCCTCCAGGTCAAGGTCTGGAGATCTGGGATGAGGCAGCAAAGGAGCTCCTTCAGATATCTTCAGACCAAGTCGTGCGGCGCGAGAAGTTTGGCTTTGTTGAAACTTGAGTTTTTGGAGGAGTTCGTCGCAGTTCCTCGGCCAGGGACCTTGAGCCGCCGTGAAACAGCGGTCTGTTAGGTGGCGGCTGGAAGCTGAGGTCCGGCTGTGAGGTCGCCACCGTTTTCATCGGCCAGCTGTTTCATTTGCTTTGTGGGCGCGGCGACATGCAGCTTGGTCCAGGAAGGGGTGTGAGTCGGTGTGCGCATTGATTTTGTTTTGCACCGATCGTCTCCTTGCTTGAACTGGAGTCGCGATGCCACTGCCTCGTACTTCGAAGCCGCTCCGAATGCTTCGAAGCCCTCCTCGAAACATGGCACGAACCGGAGGTAAGGATGTTGCACTGTTGGTGTCGATCGTGTCATATCCTGTTTCTTTAGTACGGTCCCCCGAGCCGCTAGCTGCATTTGCCAAGAAGGCTCTGCCATTGCCTCGCGTCGTTACAGCAGAGTTTCTCCGGGAAATTGAGGAATCAGTGGAGCAAGGAAAAATGCAGCCACGACTTTCCAATAACGGCATGAACCTGTGAAACCTCAAGGCCCGCGGCAGGGAGTGGACCTACCTCATTGAAGCTCGTGCTAAACCACTGGGCTGAGGCCGGTCAGGTTTTAGATGCACTCAGGCGATTTGCCAAAGGAGCACATCGAGTGGTGACTCGCGCCGGAGACCTGGAGAAGCAGCGCCTCACGGCCGTCTTCTTCTTCCAGCAGCCTGGTCGCGAGATGAGTCGTACTGTAGACAGGACCGGTAGCATTCAGCGGGACAAATCCAGGTTCCCATCAAAATCATATGCCTTCTCCGTTTGCTGCGCCGATGTAAGGCCGCAGTTGGACACGTTGCTCATTCCCTTTGTGGCTCCAGCCAACGGGAACCAGGAAGAGCCGAGCCTCTGTGCAACGAGGAAAGGGCCCAGGCAGCCGGTTTTGTGCGTGGAGCGAGGAAGATGCCAGTCGTTGAACGTCGCGTGATTGCCGATGCTTGTTCTGTGTGTGGGAGGTTCAAAACTTTTCCTGCTGTGCCTATTGTGGGCTGAGGATTTCTTTCAGAGAGCGGCGCTTGCGCAGCTACCGGCGGTTCGCACGAGCAGCGCCACCGTGGAAAAAGGAGAGCAGATGACAGCGACGGGTATAAACCTCAAGCAGATGATGCCAAACACGAGCTCCTGTTGGGTGGCCGCAAGCCCGCTGCAGGCCAGTGCTTGATCTTTTTCCATCCATTGTCGTCATGCATATCTTGTGTGGATGCCTGCGGACCGCATGATGCTGTCTGTACGAGCAGCTCTGTCCTGGCACCTGGGCTCGACAAGAAGCTGTAAGCAACATTACCCGACACGAGTCTGGGACACTAGATCAGCCGCTAGATGACTCAAAGGCAGAGAGCAGTCATGCTCACTGGACCAGAGACGCTTTGCCATGCCTGCCAGCGGAAATTGTCCATTCTAGTGAGCTCTATCCTGTTCACAGAGCCAGAACTGGCGGAGCCTGGGGTTGACAGATGTTTGAAGACACTCATAGCCTCGGCCTCGTGTTTCAAGTAGGCTTGACAGCGCACAGATGGCTTTGCCATGGTCGCCTTCCAAGCGCAAAATGTGCGAGCGTGGGCGTGCGCCCAAGGTAACGCCAAATGAATTGCATATAAGTCACCGGCATGCTGCTCGCTGCGACAGCAAGAACTCCGCTTTCTTGTCACAGTTGTGAAGCCGGAGCTGAGTGTTGTGGAATCTGCAACAAGGTCGTGCTTGGCATACTTCTGTGCAGCTCGGCTGCCGACCCAAGGCACGGCAGCCCGGTGAGAGCGAGGGCTTAAAAACCAGACTTCCGAGAGATTTTCTTCGCCGCGAGGCGACTCTCGGACTCCACGGAGTGCGATGCCCCGTGCCAGCCCGGCCAGTTCAAGGCCCTGCCCCTGGTGGCGCTGTGCGGAGGAGGCGGCTGCACAGTGGAGGCGCAGAGGGCAAAAATCGCAGAAGCACCACAAGCGGTCTTAAGCCCTTGACCCCTGTGTACCTTGCAGGACGACATTCTCAAAGGGAAGTCCCAACTCTTCATGCAGATTCCGGTCAACAGCAGCGGCATCCGTGTGGAGATGACAACGCGCCAGACGGATCAGGATCTGCAATTAGTTGATCCTGCCACTGGCTTTTTGCCTGCAGACAGCACGGCCTGGCAAGACCCGCTGGAAATACGACCGTCACCTGCCTTTTCCGAACTCGAGGTATTTGCGTCGCTGGAGCTGTTGGAGATACTTGTCCTGACGGCGGCCGGCCTGCAAACGTCGCTTGGATATCCTTGGGTGCCGGGCGTTACTAGCTGATGTGTCATCCGTTCGGGTCTAGCCTGCCATCTTGTATCTTGTGTGCACATTCAGCATTCCCTTACTAGTTATATACATGCGGCGCTTAGCATTGAATCTTGCGGAAATGTGGCTGGTCGCTATTGCGCAGAGGCGAGGCAGAGCCTAAGAAGCATCGGAAAAGCTGAAGCTCTTCAAGACGCTACGACTTCTTTCCTGCAGTTCACACAACTCGTAGCCCCATGAGAACCGGAGGCAGGCACCGGCTGCGCGGATGAGAACGACTACTGCGTCACTTACGAGGGGATGAACTGGTACTTCAGCGGGGATAAGCAACTCGCGCCTGTCTTCGAGAAGCTCTCTCTACAAGGCCGTACTCGCAGCGCTGTCATCCTGAGCAACTAGGAGCAACTTCTAACGAGCTCTCATACCATCTTTCCAGCTACGGAGAAAGACTGTGAAAGACCCCATTTGTAGGTCTTGCCTTCACTTGTCTTTTGCGCAGGCCAGGTGACGCAGCTGCTTAATGTTTGGGTGGAGGTCCGACGTGTAAATCACTCTGGGCACGACGTGTGCCTTCGAATGCACCACGTAGAGGCGCCAAGTGGAGGGGAGCTGCAGGCCGAGGGCTCGGTGCATCCTGCAATGTCGGAGATGGTTGTCGGGTGTTGCCGGAATGCAATCGTGTCGGTATTGTGTCCGTGCGCAGGTTCAAGTCCGGAATGATCCCATTTCACCATGTCCTGCTCAACTTCCTGGCTGCATACCCTGTGAACAGTACGATCGTCCTTCGCTTACAAAGTGCTCAGGGTGCCAACATTCCTCGCGGCTGTTGAAACCCTGCATAGCATGCTTTGCCAAGGTTGCGGCCCTTTCGACAAGAAGATTTGTGATGGCAGTGCAGTCGTCGTTTGCGAAGCCACGACGCAGACCACCACCACAAGCAACTCCGCTAAACGACAAGTTGGTTTAGTGGGTGTAACTTGGTTGGACGTTTCGTCTTTGCCATGTCGCCTTAGGGCCTCACTTGCTGTCTGTGGAGTCCGGCATATTTGGCTATGTCTGCCTCGGTTGTCTGCAGTTGCCAGACTGCAGATGCTGCAGCGCTGCATGGAGAACTATCGGCGTCTTCCTTTGAAACTCATTCCCCCAACAGTGTTCTCACATGAAGGGTACCGGGATGACTGGTTGCTGTTCGTGCACAAACAATATTGATTAACATCGTTGTCTTTCCACAGTCCTGCTGAGGTGACTCCCCGGATGCCAACTCATTCATTGTAAAATCCAAGACTTTGGTCCTCCGGAGCTCGATGAACCGAACTCCCGACTTTAGGGTGCTTTTGGGTGCAACTCGTGCTCCCGCCAGGTTCTCGTTTTTATTTTGTTTTCAAGTCACTCGCAGTCGATGTCCTAGGTGCCACACTGGCTGGTCGGGGCTCGTTAGTCGGGGCTCGAGATCGGTTTAGAGTTTAGGGTTTAGGGCCGTTTGGGAATGTGGTCTTGTGCTCCCGCCGCGGTGCTGCGTGTGCTTTGACAATGCGCTGCATGTTCTGGGGTGAAAACGGTGCTCCCGCCACGGGGCGCGATCCCCTGGCGCACATTTTGGAGTTCTGGGATGGTCTTGGAAGCTTCAGGGCTGCTCCTGGAGTGCTTCGCGGGGTTTGGACTCCTGGGTGCTCTGTAGTGGCGAGCTGTGCAAGTACTTCGGGTATCTAGCCCAGCACATTTGACACTATGCTTCAAGGCACGCAAACGTCGGTAACTGTCACAAGCTCCACCTCTTCCTCCAGAACATCGTCCACGACCCTGTCACACACAGAAGCTTGGACAGCAAAGGGTTCTTGCAAATTCCAGAAGTCCTAGTGGTCATAGTGCAGTTCGGATGCACCGGTGCTGACCTGGCGAGACATGACAGAACACTCCATTCAACAAGGGGTGAGCACTTTTCAAGTTTGAGGTGACGACGAAAACAGCAACCACTACATCAACTACCACGACTGGTACCTCCACTGCAAGCAGCACCATCTCAACCACCAGCTACACCGACTCGACGACGCTTACCGCAACCTCCACGAGCACCACGACCTCAAGAAGTACGTCAGGCGAATCGGGAAAGCAGAAGACTGCTGGCTGCGTTTTTTGGTTCTTGCTGACTGAGTCGTGTGCAGGCAATACATGGCCGGCAGTCATGGCAGTCCTGTCTTAGACGCCAAGTAGCTGCAGCCCCTGCAGCAGGATCATCAACAAGTACCTCGGCCACACTAACCAGTACCAGCAGGACTTTCAGCACCACGACCAGCAGCTCCAGTGCGGAGACGGAAACGCGGACTTCAAGTACTTCTTCAAGTAAGACTCTCACCATTTCCTCGACCACCAGCCAAACGAACACGAACACCCACACCGTCACGACAAGCTCCACTAGCAGAACTGCAACAACATCGAGCTCCGTGACAACTACCATGACTTTCTCCATGACCACGACTTGGTCTACGACTGCAACCTTGACCTCGGAAACCTCAACTTCACAGACTTCCACATGGACCGAGTCGAGGACTGGCTTGCGGGCCAAATGCGCCTCCCTATCTCCCTCCTCTCAAGCTAGGCTTGCCGGGCCCGGCTTCAGAAGCAGCGCATTTCTATTCTAGTCGACCCGTGAACTAAACGACTACAGGCTTGCAGGCAGCTCGAGGACCCATCGTAATCGACAAACGGCGTGTGGAGGGCACCGAAGTCAGAGGTTGTGAAGCCAGGTGCTTATGTGCAACAAGCCAGCCCGGGGAGGCGAAAGCCCGTCTCATGCCATCATCCACCCCTTTCTGACGCGTAGGACCGCCACCTCGTCCTCATCAACCTCCAGCTCGACGACCTCCAAGTCGCTGACCTCCACGTCGATGACCGGCACATCGACAACCTCCGAGTCCTCCACTGCAACCGGCACTGCGAGCTCCACGAGTACCACAGTCACCGGATCCACGACCATGTCCAGTACGCTGACACTCTCCAGCACCTGGACGACGACAAGCACCACAAGCTCCCTGAGCGTCACCAGCCAAACGGAGACGACAACTGCAACAAACACCCTGACCACGTCGAGCACCATTACACGAAGCACGGTGACGACGACGAGCATCACTTCGACAACTCTCTCTGTGCCGGCCTTGGGGGTTTATCAGTCTGCAGCGCTCCAGCTCGCGAGCTGACTCCTGCCCCTCCCGCTGCACATCACTACTTGTACGCGCTGTCAGATCAGGTCACGACCACCATCTCGAGCACCACCCTGACCAGCACAACGTCCTCCAGCACTGAGACATGTGGTTGCTGCGCAGCTTGCAGCATTGGCGTCAATTACGTGCCACCGGGGCAGCTCGTCTGAATCATGGAGAGACGAAGCCTACGGAATCATAAGCAGCTTTCGTAACACATCAAACTGCCAGGCTGGCAATGACCGATGAAGACAACAGTGCAGTCGCACTGTCGGTGGTTGTGCCGGTGCCCTCCTCAGCCCAGTGTTTGCAGAGACGGAGTTGCACATTCGAAGAGCTGGTGTCAGAGGTCATCCTCGTCCTGCTCATTTTGATGGTCCTTATGGTGGGCTGGGTGTGCAAGCGCTGCAAAGCTCAGGACTGCTGACCTTGCATGCTCTAAATCGACTGTCGGCTGCAATCAGGAGATGGAGCCGACTGAGTTTTTCTCGTTTCCTGCAATGGACACCTCTGCGGATGCCAATGACAAGCGGCATGTCAAAGTCGGACCAGACGACGCCGCCTTGCGGCACGTTGAGTAAAGCCAGGCAGTTGAACACCGCGACTCGAAGTCAAAATGCATCCCTTTGCAAGGATCCTGCAGATTCTGAAGACCCGCAAGAGCTCTTGGAGCTCAGAAAGCGGAATCAGCTTCCTGGCATGCGTTATTCGGTCTTGCGCCAACCCGTTGGAAGAGTTAAGCAAGATTCAGATGGGCTGATACTGCTGACATGTTGCCTTGGACTGCGTCGGTGACAAGCTTGTGCAGAATGTCTCGTGGTAGTGTTGCAGCAGCTTGCCCGTGGCTGCCACGTCTCCTTTGGCTGAAGGAGTTCCACAATGATGTTAGGCATTGACTCCTTGCTGAGGAGCCTGCTGGCAGAGCTTTCAAGCCTCAGGGTCGAGCTTGCTGCCGCCAAAAAGGCTGCAGCCGAACCGGCTGCAGCGCTTGAAAGTCACCGTGCCAAGCAGGAGCGTCAGTTGTTGCTCATCATAACGAGTTGCTGTAGCACGTCTGCCGGAAGTGGTAGCAGGAGGTGATGATAGCTTCTTGGAAACATGAACATGTCCAACTTCAAGGCAAAGTCCACCACTTGACGCCTGACTTGAGTCTGAAGCCTGCTTGTGCCTCTTGTTTACGAACTTCTGTACAGAGCTGCCAAAACATGGAAGCCAAGGCAATCACTCCTCCAGTACATGATCCATCATGCCACGGAGCTTGCTCGCATCGTGCAAGGGGACTGTGCCCAGCAGGGGAAGCTTCACCACCAGGCACCAAATTCAGGGTTCATGCCATGCTGAGAAAGCCCTAGTCGACACAACAGCCAAATCAAGCAACTGACGGTGCAGGTGGCTGCAGTGATGCAGAGGCTGGCAGCAGTGCATGCCCTGTGCTCGTGCGAGCGTCGTGACGCGGCTCGCGTCAGGATCCGTGGGCTTCAGGACGAGCTTGCCTCGCCAGCACACCAGCAAGCCGCTGCTCGGACAGACCATAAAGGAAGCACAGCTGGCGACTGCTGAATGACCGTCCTGCTTGATCATATCATAACAAGTGCAAATTCCGAGGTTGCTGCAGAAACTCCACCCAGCCGCTCCCGTCCGGATCCTGGGTGAGTCCTTGGCCGTGACATTCCCTAACTTGCCCTCACTCCCAGGTCTCGGCACCGTCGAACCGACTCCATCCACCCCGCGCAGCCTGGTGCAGGAGCCGGTCGCCGTGGCGGCCTGGCGGCAGCTGAAGCTACGCATCGGCATACACCGCACTGCTCCCGCTCTTTACGTCAGGGGAATTACCTTGCCATACCCATGAAAAGGCTCTCCAAGAACCGCTGTCGATGTCGGGGTCATCTGCGGTCTTTCCAGAGAACGCATGTGCCTCAGCGCCTCGCGTTCGCTTCAATCAGCAAGTGCGAGTACGCTTCTGTCAAGCCGCAACGTGACAAAGTGCCAGAGTTCACAGCCTGCTTCAGCACGTGGTGTCTGACAGGTGTCGAAGGCTCCTGATCCGCCGCCGCCACCGCCTCCGGCACCTGCGCAGCCCTTGGCTGCAGGAAGATCTGTGAAGTGCTGGCAGCCCTCGTCCGCCGAGGCAGTCGAGGAGACTCCGTTCACTTCGGCGCAACTGCAGGCCTCTCCCAGCTTGGCACTGCGATGCCCCATGCGCGATGAGTCAGGCCTTCCGACAGCGGGCTGCAGCCCGCCAGGCCTGTAGAACCACGGCTGCCGCGCCATTGCGACAGAGTTACAGCGGCCAGGCTCTTGCAGCATCGACGGCTTCCGCGACCCGCCTCGCTGCTGCGGCAGCACAGGCTCAGGACATTCGAAACAGATCTCGAAGCTCGGACTCGGCGCTTACTCGGCGCTTCGCGAGGACCATGGCGCGCCCTTTTTGCCGCTGCTCCCAAGTCATGTGCAAAGCCCGCCGAGGCGGGTCACGGAAGCGAAAACGGAAAATGCATCATGCATGCACGCACATGCGAGGGAGTCCAAATTGTGTCTTAGAACCAAAACCATGTGTCATAGCAGGCGGTACTACAAGACAGCTTGCAACGCAGCACGTTCCCAACTTTTTCTTGATGAGGGGGCTTGACTGATTGTTCTTCGTCTCTGCCTTTGTCGATGATTCACCTGGTCGGTTGATATCTTTGCAAGATAAAGTTCGGAGTCAAACGCAAATGTCGACGAACGCCGAAATGCATCGCCAAGTCTGACATTTCCAACACACCAGCAGTGAATGGCCAAGATGTGTCGCGCATAGCATCCCTGTCATGGGTTTAGACTGTCCCACCTTCATCTGACACAAAGCTTACGTTTGGGCAATGCCGGCTTTGGATGACACCCGTTGCATCCTCTCATGGCAGAGCCTGTGGCACTACTGCACAGTTGCACACTGCGGAGTCATGCAGGATTCCGGAGTCATGCCTTTGTTTCGGCCTGAGCTTCACCATCAAAAGGTGACCTCACATGGCTGGAAGATAGCTGATCTGGGTGTCCGGAAATCGGCCAAGGAACCAACCTTTCAATCATTTTTCGGCTAGAGGTTTCTGCTATTTCCTGCTCCACTGCTCCGACCATGTACGAAGTAGTTGGAACCCCAAGTTAGGCTCACGATTCAGGAATCAGAGTTCCTTCCTTCAGCTCTTTGCGTGTCCGTTCGGAAGGGGACGCATCGGCCTCGACTCTGCATCCGGGTTGGAGATTCGCTGTGGAATGTCCCCCCTCCTGTAGCGGCAACGAGAATCCGTGCTAGAAAGCAAAAGTCCGGGGTGGGTGCCTGCACGAGTCTGAGTGCTGTCATGAACCGCAAACTGAATGAGTCAAAGATGCTGAGAGTGAATATTCCGAGGGCTGCGCCGCTCAGCATTTACAGGAAGCAGACCGGCATGTGATACTGTACATTGTCTGCACGTTGCAGGAGTGGTGCAGAAGGCACCGACAATGCACGAGAGAACGAGCAGGAGTTGCTTGGGAGTTGCAGGCATAACGAAGCAGGTATGTCATGTCGTCTAACAACGAGTTTGAGGGCTATTCTATGTAAGAACCCCCCACGACAATTTCATTCTGTCAGCTGCAATAGTTGGCAGATCCGGAGGGCGTTTGTAGCCTGTAAGCCTCGAGCCATGTGCAGTCTGAACATGACAGGACCTCCGCTCCCTGCGTGACAAGTTGTTGCGACGCCACAACCTGAGCCCGCAGACATGGAACGAGCGATTCAGGTGGGATCCCCCGGGCAGACTTGGCCGCATGGTGTCATGTTTCCGCTCTCGGCTCCCAGCATCTCCCGGCACGCTCAGCCAGTCTGCAGGACGCTTGGCCAGTGGACCACGGAGCGTGCGGCCCTCGGCTGACACGGTGTGTTTCTCCTGCAAAGCTTTGCACCATTCGCTGGAGCATGAGCGGGCGTCGCCTGAGGAGGGCTCCAGCTGGAAGAAGCTCAGCAAGCGTTGCAGCGTCGGCTCAGACGAGCCAGCTTGGAATAGACCTGTCAGGCACCTGAAGCAAGCCGCTGTCAGAAGCCACACGCTGCGAACTTGAGACTGGCCCTCACGACCTGTAACACTGAAACTACGTGTACAGTTACACGACCGTAGGTTTGTAGGTGCATTGCTGCATCCGCTGTGCCTCGCTGTCGCTTGCGCAACTGCCTGGCGCCTGCTGTCAGGCCAACGCCAGCTTCGATTCGGGCCTCTCAACATATGCACGTCCCAGACATGCATAGGCGAGCTACTGCGCTGGAGGGTGTATTGACGAAGACAAACTCAAGAAGCAATGCAGCGACATATCTTTAATCTATGCTTACCTGAAAAGACTGACTATCAAAATCTGTCCGTCTGAAGCTGGTGTTTATCGGCTGGGGTGAGCTAGCACCAAGCCGCCAAGCCCCGAGCCTTACATTTCTGCAATGCACATCGTGTGTCAAGACAGGCTCAGGCTATTCGTCACAAGGGGCATTTCTGATTTAGCTCACCCCGCGCCAGGCTGCCAAAACGGCCGCTCTGCATCAGATCCGGGTCTGCCGGCTTGGGTTCTTGGAAGATCTTTCTCATTCCGGCATGGTGTAAAGAAAGACTTCTGCGTGCTTTTCCCCAACAGAGCGCAACCTTTAATCCTAAATCACGACGCAACTGCGAGGCATTGTGCGCAATTCGAGGGTGCAGATCGACAGGCTGAAACGTAATTGTACTCTTGCAGTCAGGACCTTTACCTGTCAAACATTAAGAGCTGCCTGGATTGCCTATTCGTCACGACTGGGCAGTGAAGAAATTCTCTCTAGGCAAGTTGACACAGCACGTGAGACCGCTGCTACACGCCACTCCCCGGTCGTCCGCCATTCTAGAGCTGCCATGCTCAATTATGGTCTTTGCCAAGCACGTGAAGACAGGGGCCGGCTCTGAGAATTCCTGCTCCAAATTGATCAGCGCTCCTTGCTGCGCGTGCTTTCTAACAACAGCAGCTACTTGATAGCGACCCGAGCTGTGCTCATACAAGGTTTGAGACCGAAGGGCTTGAGATGACAATCACGATAGATCGATTGATACGGCGTATTTCTCCCTAACAATGCAGGTCATAGCCGCTCATCGTTAAGTCCTACAAAAGCAAGACGTGCTTATATTTCGCACTCTTTTTGCATAGATTCGCGTGAGGTTTTTATATCAAACTCATATGACAATCACGGTAGATCGACCGACGAAGCATGTTGTCGACTTTCTACGAATGCGGATCGTAGCCGAATCATCATTGGATATTACACAAATATTTTGGAGATGATGATTGTTAGCAGCACGTGTAGGAAGAGGGGCATCACCAAACAAACTCCTAGAGGAGGGCCGTCACGCGGACGTCCACCCGAGGCTATCGAGCAAAGCAGGGGCATCACCAAACAAACTCCGAGAGGAGGG